GTTGGACTCAACTATGCCAGGGAGTAGCAGTAGGGTTTGGGCCAGTCTTTTGAAATCTCTCCTGTCTAGCACACAGATAAAGCACTAGCCCTACTAAAGCACCCATACATGGACCAGGGCTTTGCAGCTTCCTGAGCATCAGAAAGAAGCTTCCAAAAAAGCAACTCTATGACTTTCCAGGTCGCCATTTTGGCGGAAATGTGGCCCCTTGGCCCAGCAGGACTGGGAGGAGCTGTGACAGAAGATCCAGGGCCCTAGTTCTCTGGAAGACTTCCTGCTGGCACCAGCCCAGTCTCATCCCTGTGACCAGCATGGGGAAGCACACCTAGGCTTGAAAAGGACCCACCAACACTGCCCTATCAGTGTCACCTGGTACAATAGGATCCAGTACCATGACAATCACAGCCTTTGAAAAATGAGTCATTTGATGACCTCTTCCAATAAGCATGCTTATGAAAATCCACAGGTTGCAGCAATTTTCAGCCACCCCTTCCTCCTGGTCACTGAAAACATTTGTCATTTCCTGTTTTCTCCATTTTCCAAAGATTCTGATTGTCAGTGTCAAAAGGCAACAACTGTTTTCTTGGGGCTTATCTTTGGAGCACATTGATTCAGAACAAAGGATGGGGGCCTCCATCTGCAAAACAAAGGAAGCAGCCTCCTAGGGAGGCCTGGAGAGTGCTCTGGCTGCTGAGCCAGGGACAACAGGCCCAGGCCCAGAGCACAGGACTGGGAGTGCTCTGGGCAGCCCCAGTAGTATGAAGAGACCCACTTGACAGCAGTGCCCCAGGACCCTAGAGGGCCTGACCCACAGGCTGGATGTCAAGTGTACCCTTTGGACTTGGGAATATGTGTAACCATGCCACTAGCCAGGTTTTCCTTTCAACTCTGGATGCTGTGGGTTTTGTGCTTCCTTGGATGAACACTAGACAACACCCCTCCCTCTCCCTGCAACCTTGGACTATTTAGAAGCAATCTCTTTTATCTGGCAGACACTACCCAGTTCCTCCACTCTCTGACTTTGGTCTCCCATACCTTTGTGGTATCTTTCTTCTCTGCCTCTTTCCTTTTGGGCTCTTCTGCCCTTCCCCTGCTTTTTCTTTGGTTACACTCTGTAACCTCCACCTGCCCTCAACCCCCACCCCTGTACAACTATGTTATTTGATGAAACCTATGGGGCAGCCAGTGGAGAAGAGGTTAAGGTCAGTGTAGACCTAGCCAGCCACAGAAGCCAGTCCCCAGAAGCAGCGGGGTTAGACAGGCAGAGCAACCCAGGGTCTGCAGTTAAGAGACATGGCACTGCCTAGCCATGTTGCTTTGGGCAAGTCATGTAAGCTTTCTTTCTGAGCCTTAGATGTCATGTGAGTAAGCTGCTGTCCATAGATCTTCTGCCCTTCTCTCCTAAGGCTGGTGTAAGGGTAAAAGGGAAGAACACAAGTAAAAGGGCTACCTCAGAAATGCCTGCTTATCCTGAGCATCTCAAGCAGATCCTAGCCCCCCACTCCCTTCCTGATGGCATGGCCTTAGGAGGTCATATGGTCCCTGTACTCCTCAGTATCCAAATCAGTATCTCTGGGATAATAACATGCCTACTTTAAAGGATTGTTGCAACACAATGTGAAATAATGGGTGCAAAGTGTTCAGTACAGTAAGCACGCACGAAGGCAGTTATGCCACCTCCATACTTTAGCAGTAAGAGGACAGCTCCATGGGCCGGCTGAGAAACAGAAACTCCACCACCCACATCCCAGCAGCCACAGGGGAGGGGAGGCAAGAGCGCTGACAGGAAGCAGGCTAAGGCCAGGATGGTGAAATCGCTTCTAGTGTAGTCTGCCCGGTGCCATGTGTTTGTCCTCTCTGCCTTGGCAGGAACTGAGGCCAGGAACTGCCGCCAGGCCTGGGAGCCGGGCACTTTCCCAAGTGCTGGTTCTCTGCCTGCCCCCATCCCACGCCCCAAAGTCAGCTCTCTAAGTGCAGAAAAGCAAGCCATCCCATGTTGTAGGGTCAAGTCTTCTGGCATCCAAGAGGATGCAGCTCAGAAAGTGGACTCAGGGGTGTGCTCCCTGGTGGAGCTGCCTTGGTTATTGGCACACTTGTGAGCAGGCTTCTTGAGAAGGGGGAAGAGATAGCAGTGGATAAGCACTGGACTGGGAGTCAGAACTGGATCGCAGTCAAGCTGGCTCCAAATGGTTGAGAGTCTCTGTGCAAGGGGCAAGTCATGCCTTCCACATGCTCTCATCTGGTTCTCTCTGGACTGTCCCTTGAGCTGCTCCCACACTCTGTGCTGGGACTACAGCCCTCAGGCTTGGCTCCTCCCCTTGGAAATGGAGACAGGAAACTCATCCCAATTATCCATGCTGCAGCCAGTCAGGAGAAAGAAGGGAAGTTGACAGTGAGTGACTACTCTGGGTGTCAGACAGTGCATCTTCTGACCATGTGATCATCCTGCTCTTCCTGCCTGGACCACCCAGAACAATCCTCTGCCTTTTCCCCATGACAAACCAGCAGAATCTGGGTACCCACCACCACATAGCCCAGAGTCGGCTCTGCCCCAGCCTCGGCATCCCTGGTTTGCTCAACCATTTCTAGTCTGTGCGATTTGGAGTTTGAGCCCTACCCCAATCACTTACTGTCCTCTGAATCCAGCCAGTTTGTATGGGTCTCCCTGATACTGGCATGCCCAGACTCTTGTCAGCACTATAGACATGGTCTGGTCAAGACAGAGTAGTGTAGGACTGTCACCTCCCTCCTTCTACATACTCTGCTTCTATTAATGCGACTTAATGTTACATTTGCTCTTTTGGTGACTGCATCTCATTGCTGACCCATCCTGAGCAGAAGGACCTCCAAAATGCCTAAATTTTTTTCTACGTGCTCTTGCTATTAAGCTCTGTGTCTCCTGCCCCATCCTTTGCTGTCGCAGTTGGCTTTTAAACCCAGGTTGCAGAATCCTACCTTTATTTATACCTGTGGAATTTTGCTTGGGAGGGTGGGGCATGCATGCAAGTGTGTGTTGGTGTGTTCACTCATGCTTTCTGCTACACCAAAGCCAAGTCCTGGGTCCCCGCACAGTGATCCCAAGGCAAATATTTCTTGATAGACTTATTCTAACACGTCTTTTTCATCTTCTGTTTAGCAAGAGAAACAGAGATCAGGTCTTATGGCAATGACCCCTGAACAGCAGAGTGCGTATATCGCCCAACAGATGAATCAATTTCAAGGTAAGCAGTTAAGATCAATCTTCCCAAAGGGACAGGCTAGGGGGTGTCATGTGGGATGAGAATTCACCCCAGAGTAAGCAGTTACTGTGGGTGTTTCTGAAAGCATTTTAGGAAAGAGGGGAGGTCTGGGAGTCAGTTCAGGTTGGACCTATCACACTGGAACTTGAGTAGGATCCCAATTAAAGGTCAGGTCTTAATGACTCTGCCACCACTGTGTAATTCAAGAGTTTGATTAAACTAAGTCAGGTGCCTTAAAGCAGTTATTCTCTATTGGAGAAGGGCATACCCCCTAGGGTTTTATCAGAATCAACTGAGGCTGCCACAACCCCAGGGTTCTGACCCTGCCCTTCTTGCTCCCACCCCAGTGACCTTCTATTCTAATAGAATCCTGGACCATCTCCCAGGTGTGGGCAATGGAAAAGAGGTTGAAGTTGTGCCTCAAAGAGTCTGTGGTGGAGGGCTGCCAGAGCCTCCACAGACAGCAGGGTCCCCACCTTATCATGGCAGCTATGAATGCAATCAACTTTTATTGGTCAGAGATACAGCTGTTTGAAAGGGGGAAAAACAGGCATTGTCCCTACTTCTCAGAGCTTCCAGACTAGTCAGGGAAACATGTAAGCAATCCTTACCAGCCGATAGTGACATTGTGCAAGACCAAGGATACTCTCACCTGGGGCTCAGTGAAGGCTGCTTGCCCTCCAACAAGTGGTCAGCATCTTCATTTTAGCCAATGACACCATCATGCCACTGCTCCTCCATTCTCATGCAGAAAACCCTGTTTTGGGGGCCTAAACACCAGCTGAATATTGCACCTGCCCAGGTCAAGCACACTTCAGCTGTAGGGACAGGGAAAACAAGTTCCAGGAAGGCCATTTCATCTGTCAAGGGATGGGCAAGGCCAGGCCTGCGTACAGAGTACTGAGTATGAAAGCAGACCAAGACCCTGACCTCATAGAGCTTATAATCTACTTAAAAAGACAGACAGATAAGCCGGCATTTTTCATCCAACATTATCTGTACTTGGTGGGGGGTAGGCAGGGATGTGTGAACACAGACCCAGGAATCTAAGAGGGCTCCCTAGAAGAACTGCAGTACAGACTGAGGGTGGAGGAACAAAGGGGAGAAGAGTTGAGGAACAGAGGATGCTCAGTAGGAGCCAAGGGTGGAAGGTGAGAAATCAGTGCTAGGCTGGTACTCCCCACCAACAACTGCAGCAAAATTGAGGATGCCTTTGGAATTGACCCCCCTTCTCTCTTTCTGTAGCCGTCCAAGAACAAGTCACCTCCAAGTGTAGCCGGACCAAGGCAAGCCCCCCTTCCAACCAGCACATGATGCTACCCAGAGCTGAGCACCTTCAGAACAACCTGAGTCCAGGAATGATCCCACCCAGCCGGCACCAGAGTCATGGAGGCATGATCTTACCGATCCCAGGCAAAAAGCAAGGAATTTTTAACTCCAGCCCCCTGTTTCCCATATCCTCATGCTCAGGCCAGAACCCCCTGGGCAGCCTTGGCTCTGTCTGCCAATATACACAAATGCCCAAGGCCTCCCCCTCAGGAGTGCTCCTGCCCAGGTTCTGTCCCAGCCCCCAGGGCAGCCAGCCCCTGAGTCCCCACCAGCTCAGACAGCCAAGTGTGCCAAGAATGTCCACCTTGTTCAACAATGCCACATGGGTGGCAGCAGCAACTGCAAACCCAGCAGTCTCAAGGGAACCACTCCCCAGCCAAGTAGATAATAGCGCCCAGCAGCAATTTAACAGCAACTCTATCTTCGCAAAGGCACCTGTGAGATTCTCCCCGATAGCCCCAGCCTGTCCATTGCAGCAGGCAGTTGTGCCTCCCAATCAGGGGACCCCAGGAGACAGGCCTGGCCAGAAGGTCAATGCTTCCCTGGCCAACCCCAGCTTCAGCCTCAGACAGAGCCCACAGCAGTGTCCTGTGCCTGTGCTGAACACCAAGTCCCTCCATCAGGGCATAGACAGCTTTGGTCCCATGAGTCCCATACAGGCCATCGAGCCACCACCAAGCTATGTGGCTGCTGCTGCTGCTGCCGCTGCTGCCTCTACTATCACTGCTAGCCAGTCTCCAGGTCCATTCAATAGAATGGGTCCCCTTACTGAGCTGCCACCCTATGACTTTTTGCCCCAGCCCCACCCCCCATTAAATGATCTGATTTCACCACCTGACTGCAATGAGGTGGATTTCATTGAAGCTCTCTTGAAAGGCTCCAGCACGAGCCCAGATGAAGACTGGGTGTGTGACCTGAGGCTGATCGATGACATTTTAGAAGAGCAGCATGCTGCTGCCCAAAATGCCGCAGCCCAGAATGCTGGCCAAGTCACCCAGAATAGCCAGGATGGCATCCCCAAAGTTGACATCACTTTAGGGAGTGGTGTGAATCCATAGCAAATTCACAACTGGCCCCAGACAGCCACACAAGTGTTTCCTCATTACAATCTGAGTGGCATCAGCCCATGCCCATCCGTCTCTCTACCTATAACAAAATGGAAAGCTGGTGATTTTTCAAAATACCTGTACATATTTGAAAATTTTGTAAATGGTTTTCCTAAACATTAATGACAGAAGTATTTATACTTCCTTTTGTGACTTTGTAAATAAAGTGACGGCTTTTGTTTCAGTACAATTGTGTTGATTATGCATTGTTTGTGTTTATTATACATTGTTGCAAATATGCAGACTGTGTTGTTCGCTCCAATGATCTCTAATAAGCCAGGTGTCTGAGTCGCTTATGGTTTTGATGCAACAGATGATGTGGATGTGACCAAGAGGTGTTGTACAAGCTAACAAATGCCACATAGAAAACCACTTGGCCATTTATTGCCATTTTCACAGAAAATGTCATCTCCTGATGTAATTCTTGATCTCTTTTTTGCAAACCTGTCAGTCTCTGCTAGCTCTTTCCTGATAAGCACATTACAGCATAAGCTGCTTTTATAGTAAGTGCCCTACAGAGGAAGTTTGCAAGGAGGCTGAGAGAGTTATGTAGATTTGGGAAAAGTGAAGAGAGAGAATGTGAGTTGAACACTATCTGAGCTGTCAACCTTGAGGATCTATAGTGTCCTCTCTTTATCATTCAGTCAAGAGAACCTCAGCTTTGCACCTCTCCAGAGACACCCTTGTAGGGTGAAGGTGAGGGGTTCCTGGTTTAAAGCCTTTCAGTACTTGTTTTGATGTAAGGCTTTGTGGTTGGGGAGGTGGGGAGTCTGTAAACATTAATACTTGATTTTTGGTTTGTCATTGATGGTTTCTATCTGCAATTATCGTCATGTATATTTCAGTGTCTGTTACAGAAAACCAACGCCCACTGTCCTGTAAACTTTTCTCAGTGTTCAGACTCTATGTAATCACATTTTAATTGCCACCTCGTATTTTGCCTCTTCGTTTGAAAACTGTCATCTCTTTCAAGCCAAAACCTGTTTGTTTTTTTCCCTTTCTTCTATAATAAACAGCCAGGAGAAAAGTGCCTTCGTTTTCATTTTTTTAAGGGAGCATTCAGTACCTGCAAACCCATGTCAGTGAAACCAGCCAGTGCTTTTGGTTCTTTCAGAGCCTACTTGTGTCCTGCAAATTGGAAAAGATGCTGCAGGGAGGGGCGAGGAGTGAAAAGTTATGTAGGCAAGCAGCAATTGTTTCACATCACAGCATAGAAGCTTGTCATTTGGTGTCTCAGGCCCTTGTTTTATAGAGGAGGAAACAGGACGGGAAGCCACTAAGGTAACTCTCCACTTTGGGGTAAAGGGAGAGTTGCACTGAGAATCTAAACTCTGCACCACAATCCTCTTTCAGCCATGAGGGTGACAGACCTTAATAAAATGTCAACTCCTCCCATGTAAGAGACACCCATATAGAGTGGCTAGAGATGGAGGCTGTACCTTGAAGTAGGTGACATATCTGCTGTGTGGGAGAGTGAAGTTCTTTTACTTCACAAAGACAACCAACAAGGCCCTGATGAAGCCACTGGGCAGCTGAGCACCCCTGCAGTGCATGGTGGGGGGTGGGGTAAGGAAGGATGTCCCATCTCCCATTCCCCAAAGCTCTGATCATCCTGAATGCTGAAGCGGAAAGAGCTCAGCAGGCTGGGGTGTGGATGCCTCAGGAATGCCAGGGATCCCCGTGGCTTATCTTTATGTCCAGGACCACAGCAGAAGGGCAGTCTGCTCCAATTTGCCTGACTGTCTAAAACTTGCCAAGATCCACTCAGTTCCCTTTAGCCCCACCCCTCACATCCCCCAACATTTGCAGCAAGTTGTTTGGCTGCTGGTTGCTTCCTATTTAAACTACACAAAAACAACAGGGACTCCTGTCACCCTACATTAGGGCTACCCCTTAATAGCAAGGAAGTGGCTTTCACAGAGCTTCATCTGAATTTGGCTTATGGTTGAGCCTCATTTCCAGGGACCCTAATAAGATGGCTGGGACCTCTGCCAGGAGTGGTCACGAGCTGAGGTGCTGGTGATGGGTTGTAAGATGTCTCACGTCTCCCCAAAGGTAGCAAAGAAGCTAGTTGGGACACTACTTCCCCATGTGCTATAAAAACACAGCTGAAGCACCAGTTGGGATCAGATGGAGTAACAAAGGAGTACATCCCATTTATTCCCCTAATTGGCTGGGAGAATTTTTATACCTCATCCTCAAGGTACAAAATGTTCCAACATAATGGCATGCTTGGCGAGGCCCATGGACTGAGACAGGCCTGTTCTGTCCAGCAGAGCCTGAAATGCTCTAGGAAGATGCCTGCACCCACCACTCAATGACGACTGAGGGCAAAGATCAACAGGGGTGGAAGCAGGCCTCCACAGCCCGTGGGCCAGAGGGATCATAGAAACAGTCATTGCTCCAAAGCCCTGGCTTTCAGCCCACCAGTTAACACAGGCCCCTCTTGCTTCCTGCAGAGCGTTCTTTGTAGGTCTGGGTAATGGAAGTGTCCTATGACTGCCCCTCAGCTTCTGTCACCACTCCCTGTCATGGTCTCTACTTCTGTTCCCCCTGCCTCTTGATGTTCCCAGAAGCCATCTGCACTGTGCCTCAAGTACCTCAGTGGTGCCAGGTAATAGGCAGGCCCTGGCTTCCCCACACTGAGGTACTTGGGCCCACCTCTCCTGTCCCCTCTCTCCAGTGGGCTCAGGAGAAGCAGGCGTTGGGCCAGGTGCCCTTCCTTGGCTCTGTGTTAGATCCAACTACCCAGTGACTGTTGCTTACAGTCAGTCATTTGGGGTACTGAAGCCATGATCTGTAGATCCCCCAGCCCAGCTCTCCAAGTGGGGTTTCCTCAGCCTGCCAGAGGGATTCGTGGTCACCATTGTCCCCACTCAGCTCTGCTGGTCCTCAGAGCCCCAAAATAAAAGCTGAGCTTGGCCCACTAGGTTGGTTCCAGCTTCCATACCCAAGAGGGTTCACTTCCCACCACAACCATGATATCACCTCAAGGTTGAGCTAGTGTGGACAGCAGTGTAGACAGCTCGCTGAGCACTTTTTGCCACTGGCTTTAGCCTAGCCTCACCATTCCCTAGCAGTCCTTTCCCATTTCCATTTCCACTATGGTTGTCCCAAGTTACTCCTTCCAGGAGATAACTCCCACCTTTCTTTCATTGTACTGACAGCCTCTCTCTGCTGGATTTCTCCCTGGAACTTTCAACTGGACCATGTTAAAAAGCCACTCAACACCACAGCCCATCCAGGTACAGCTCTAGCTCTCTACTACCCTCCTGTCCCACTCATCCCTCAACCTAGAGTGATCTGGCTCCAGTCCCCTCTCTTCCTTAAGCATGCTGGTCAAACTACAAAATTCCTCCTGGCCATAAATCCCATAGAAAGTTTTCAATCTTCAGTACACTTGCCCCTTCAGCAGCACTGGACTCTCTCTCCTTCCTGAAAAGTGCTGACCTTGGATCCTGGAACCCACAGTCCCCTGGGACGCTTCTTCTACTCTGGCCTGAAACCTGGCTCTCTCTCCTGCTCTGAAGGCATTTCTCTTCTGCTCCTTCCATTTTCTCTCACTTGACTAAGCCTTCTTTACCTTCTCCCTATCTTTCAGTTTCTTCCCCTGGGCATACAAATGGGTCCACGCGCCTACATCTCAGCATCTTAGCATCTCAGCCTGGTCAAACAGAGCACAGTACAGCTGGACAGAACCCTAAATTTCAGTCCCCAGGGCAATGCTGCTGGACTAGGTTGTACACAGAGCTGAAGCCCTCTAGAACCCTTGAAAAAAGAGTGCAAAAGCATGAAGGCTGCTGAAGGCCCCTGCCCATGAGAAGGACTCACCCTTATCCTGCTTCAGACAGCAGTCTTGACTGGAATCCCTCATAGGCCTCCTAGCCTTTGAAAGCCCTTCCCTAAGAGGGTTGAGAGGAAGAAGGCACTCAGCTGCCAGTGGCTCCTCAGGAGTTTGCAGGGAGGTGCCTAAAGGCCTTTTCAATGGGGAGGGGAGTAAAGAAAGAACCACGATCATTACGGGGAGGTGCTCTCTTCACACTCAATCCCATTACCCCTGCCCCAAATTTGAGTTCAACAGCAGGAAAAATGCCAGAAGTTCCCAGGGATGTAAGTGAGACCCCAGGGACTCTTTCTTCCATTAGAGCAGGCTCAGGTCCCTGGAGGTCTCAGGGCCAAAGACTCTGAATAAAGTACCATCTCTCACTTGATCTTCAGCCTAAGAAGTCAGGGGATCTGGAAGTGGAAATGGGGTTCTGAAGAAACATATACTGTTGCCTTCTCTAGTGTGTGGTCAAGGATATTCTAGGTAGAGGGAACAGCAAGTACAAATACTAGGGAGAATGGAAAAGAGGCAGGTGGATGGGTCCAGTGTGCAAGAGAAGGAGAGGGAGAGGAGAGAGTGCAGGAGTGGGCAGGGCCAGAGCATGCAGGGCCCTGCAGGCTATCTTGTTTCCACAAGGGAAAAGGGTCACTATGGTTGCTGTGTCGAGGATGGACTCCAGAATGAATAAGGGAGGCCTGTAAGGAAGGCCTCTACATACAGGGATTCTCTATACAGATTTCCCACGGGCATCTCCAGTTCAGGAGGTCCAAAGTGAACTCCTCAGCATTCTCCAAGCCTGAGTGTCCTCCTGAGTGTCAGGCAGGCATCGTACCCGAATGCCCCACTTTTAAGTCCCCAAATCCACTTGGTCTCCAAGTCCAGAACCTGGGAGTCATCTGGATATTTGTTTTTCTCTCATCCCTTCAGCATCCTGGAAAGGTGGGGTATCTCCTCCAAACTAATCTGCAAAATCTCTATGATCACAATAAAAATACCCAGCAGGATTATTTTCTGGAACATGACAAAATGATTCAAGGTGAGTCATCTGGTGGGACAACGAAACAAAAGTAGCCAGGAAATTACTAAAAAAGAAAAATCAAGAAAGGGTTTTTAGCATTACCAGATATTAAAGTGTATCATGAAGCTAGTGTATTTAAAACAATATGGTACTGACACAGGAAAAAAAACAGACAAGTTGGTGGAAAGGAAATAGAGGCAAGCGTAGGAATTGAAACAATGAGAAAGAAGACATTTCAAATCAGCGAGGGAGACTCAATACATAGTATTGGAAAAACTGACTTGCCATTTTAACAATAAACATGGATCCTCTACCTAACTCCTAACATCAAGATAAATTCAGATGATTAGAAGATTAAAATAGAAAGGCACTAAAAAAAAAACAAAAAAAAACAAGGTTGGATATTTTTAGAATATCAGGATAGATCAGGTTTCTCCAATTATGATATGAAACCCAGAAGCTACAAGGAAAAGATTGATGAAATTGCCCACATAAAATTTAAAAACTTGCATACAGAAAAACACACCATGAAGGTAAAAAGATAAATGACAAATTTACCCAAAAAATTTTGAACACATGACAGACAATGGCTGATATGCTTAATACAGATAAAAGTAAATTGTCCACAAAAAGACAAGTACAAAAAAAAGACAAGTACAATTTTATTCACAGTAACCAAAACCTGTGAACAGCCTGGATGTCTATCAATAGGAGAATGGATAAGCCAACTCTGATATGTTTGTACAATGCAATACTACTCATTAGTATACAATGATAGTCCTCAGCAATGAAAATGGATTACTAATACATACTATAACATGCATACATTTCACATGCATTATGCTGAAAAGAAGCCAGACACAAAAACATACACATGATCCCATTTATAGACATAAGTAATTCAGGGTGAAAAAAATCAGAATAATTGGTAGGTATGGGGGTTGACTGAAAAGAGGTATAAGGGAACCTTCTGGGGTGACGGTAAAATCTCTTATGGGTTACACAGGTATATGCATTGCCAAAACTCAGAGTATGGTTCACTTAAGATCTGGACATTTCATTGCAAGTTAATTTTACCTAAAATATAAAAATCTTAAATATTGAACTCTAGTTAATGATCTGCTGGAGTTTGGGGTGAAGTGTACTAGTACTCATGTCTGCAACTTACTCTGACACACAAAAAAGA